ATTTTATATTTCTGGTCAGATACAGAAAAAAGCATTTTAAGATTCATATTTGATTGATACGAAGTAATTCTTCGAAAACTATTCAATTTAATTTAAAACAGACCTTAATTTAACGCAGTGCAGAATGATCGGGAAGACGAAATTAATGATCTAATTATCGCTTCGGATAACTGCTATTTCTTAATTAAACCAACTAATTAAAACTACAAGATACCATCAACTTTACACATCTTCCGTAGCATTCACCCTTTATTTACCTCCTTTCGAATTTCAAACCTCAAGCAAACGAAATAAAACACAATTTCCAATACGCAATAATAAAACCAAAGAGGGAAATTTCAATCAAATTCAATACAATTTGAACTTTATCTGATATGCTTAAAGTTGAAGTTACAACGAGTTTGAATCAAGCTTTGACTGTAATACCGAAGTATAGGAGATGAAGTCTGGGTTTGTTAAAGTATTTTGAGTTCTGTAGTTAAAGAATTTAGGCTGCTTTTTGCTTAAAACTGATGTGGGATGCAAGTGTGGTAGGCGGTACGATTATCGTCGGCGGTGGCGCGCGTCGCCCGCCGCAGAGATCAGAGGGATCTTGCGTCTGCAGGAGAGTATTTATAGTGAGGGCGGACGAGGCTCCTAAATATCAGATGTTGAGAGTTAGTCTAGTTTACCACTGGGGTAGAACAATGAGACAGATCAAGACAGTGGTACTAATAGAATGCAAACTATACGTTTTGTCTTTTTTTTACCTTTTTAAACCTTGGAGACAAAGTCGTCATGTCACTGAACACACAAAATATTATTAAAATTTTTTAAATATTATTAACATGGGCCTTTGTCATTGTCAAATTACCTGGGCAAGTTTAAAAAAAGCAGTACTGTCCACTCTGCAGCACTGGTCTACCCTCGTGTGAAATGTCATTAATGACGTGGGTACGGGAGGTTTTTATTGCCATACTTGTGTTGAGTTAGCGAACTCTTAGGGGCGGGTTTTGGGGGTGAGCTCTTTTGATCTGACAATGTTGTACACATTGGCTCCGTGGTGTACAAATGTTCACATTTTTTTATGAATGTAAGACGTTTTATTACATACTAGATGTTCCCGTGCGACTTCATCCGCATAAAATTATAAAAATTTTATTTTATTGTTTACATGTGTCAAATTATCAGTTGCAAATGTCAAAATGACATGACGATGACAAACCATGGCAACCTTGCTTCCTTGATGTTGGCAGCAACTTATGGTCTCTTTCCCACATTAGGGTTTTTATCCAAAATATTTACCTCCTAAGTTTAATGGCGTGAAAATACATAGCCTAAAGCGTGAAGTAAGTGTATGGCTTTTTATTTAAAAAAGAATTATTCAAAAACATGTTGTAATTGCTGACATCTTAGGCAACAAAGAAGTGTGTGTTTACGCTTTATTATAATAGTATAAATAAGTATAGAGTATAGATTAGAAACTCTTCTCCAATTTTGAAATAACGAAATTATATCGAGATTTTGCTTACAATCTATAATCGTTGTCAAATTCAACAGTTACATAAGTAACTGTGCACTAAAATAATGGAGAAGTACATTTAATGAGAGAAGTTAATTTAAAAAGCTTTAGTCAATGCATATCAATTATCAACATCGATAAAATCGTGAAAATCTCTACCTTATTAAAAAACAAAGAAACTTACTTCCAAATATAGGTTACCAACTTCTAGATAACTCCATGATGTCATTTAACTTTTAATTTTAACTACTCAAATAAAAAGATAAATGATTTTTAAAATACAGAGTTAAGATTTCATTTCTTTCAAAGTCAGTACACTCATTAGATTGCCTGTGATTGATTTGCGATCGATAAAGGCCGACACAATGGCGAGCAAATATTTGAGTTTTCTTGAAAAATAGCGCATTAACGAGAGCTATAAAGTGCGTTTATAAAGATAATCTGATACGAAACAATACTGCGTGGGGCGAACAATCTAGAAATCACGATATACTACCATACCTCGAACTTTGATTCACACGAAAACGAACCATATTGTAACTGCGTTGAGTATATTTTGAATTATATTGTTGTGTGTTTTATGGCATTTTTGTATGAATATTAATATCCAAGTGCAGGACAATTGGGTATAAACCACGCGCTCTGCTATAGAACAATGGATTTTATAGGTTATTATTAAGGAATCGAACCCGGGCCGCGCCGCGTATGCACTGCGATACGATTCTTTACAAACAAGCTTGTTATTAATATTTTATTTACGTTCCAATGCGTATTGTATTTAACTGGTGGCAAATTTTAGGTTATTTTAAGATATCATTTGCGTGAAGATATTTATTACTTGGTAGCTAAAAAAACAGTTTTGACAGTGGTAGTGCCCGCTTTAACATCTTAGCACGAATGGGCCGGCACGCCTGGTGTAATACCACGACCACACAGAAGACAGGCGTGAAATGGAACCAATGCCGTGTTTCGCCTAATGAATGTGGTGCCGGAGGCCTAATTTAAGTCCCTTTCTCTTTATCACCCTTTTCTTATGAAAAGATGGGAAGGGGAAGTGGATTTCAAGATGTAGAAGATGCATAGGAAGAAGAAATATCCTCTTTACGTGCGTCTCCTCCTCCGTCGGATAAGGATAAGCAACGCATCTGCAATTGCAGATGTCTATGGGCAGTCGTGGCTTCTCCATTTTGGCGGATTCAGGTGGCCGCTTGCTCGTTTGCCATCTTATGTTATAAAAAAAAAACAAAAGTGAGAAGCCTATATGTTCTTCCAGACTATTCTATTCTCTACATCTATGACAGTATTCGTTGAGATCCGTTAAATAGTGTAGGGTACAAATTCTAACAAACATCAATCAATCTAAACTTTCGAATTTACAATATTACTAATATTGCCTATCGATAGGGTAGTCGAACTATGCTATTTCTTTGACAAATAAAGAGTCGCTACCATTTTTTATAAAATTAAAAAAAGAACAAAGACGACACGACGAACGTAAGACAGACAAAAACAATTTTCTACAACTTCAGAATCTTCGTTTTATATCGTTTGTCCGTAATCCCTATCTTAGGCACTGATCAAATTTTGACAAAAATCGATTGAGAGTTGAACTTATCCCAGACATAATTATCCAACACTTTCTTTTAAAAACTTGCTTGCTTCGGCAGTACATATACTAAAATTGGAACGATACAGAGAAGATTAGAATGGCCCCTGCAAAAAAAGGATTTAGTTAGGCTACCGCTCTAGGCGCTGCATGGAAAGGAGGCGCCATAGGTCTGCGGGATACATAGTCTTATAGACTGTTAACTCCCAAAACGGGTTAAAAGGAGAATAACGAGGTTTAGGCTAAGCGCCATCTGCGCTCGGCCTCAAGTCTGGTGAATCTGTAAATGCCTCTTCAAAGCGAACAGTGAAATTAAAAAAAAACTTTATTAATTAAACCAGTTGCACAATAATCATTCCTGAGCTAAGTTAGGACCTGTATAACAGGAAGCATGGTCTTCTCTTAATCTAGGTACATAATTTATATGTAAAACAGTGACAATTCAGTCACAAAAAAAAAAAACAAAAAAAGCAGCACCGTAGAATCTCGTAGAATGCGGTAGTAACTCTAACACCGGTACTCGAAGACGTACTTAGATACCTATTCACCGATAACATTTTATTATTTCCCGCCGTTCAAAAAAGTTTCGCATTAACATAGAAAAAATCCAAAAGACACCGCTTAAGGCGTAGATCTGTTAATTACCACAAATATGTGCAGTGTTAGCAAAAAGTAGAGCGGCCGCTTTGTGATCTATGCCATGACATTTTGTCGACACAAATGATGCAAGACGCGACAAAGATACAAGTTTCCGCAAATGACTGCAACTAATAATTTTTTAGATTCTAGGGAAAAGAAGTCCAGGAAGGAGAACATCGTGGCTTAAAAATCTTCGCCAATGGTGCAATGAAAGTACGCGGTTTATGTTTAGAGCTGCTGTATCCAAACTTAAGTCGCTGTAATGATTGCCAACCTTCGTTAGGAGACGGCACCAAAAGAAGAAGAAGTATTTTTTTATTTAGATCAATATCTAAATAATGTAACTATAATCAATGTAAAAAAAACAATAAAAACTTGTGGAGTTTTGTAGTACATACATGGCGGCCATTACGGTTTTACGATTTATTTTTTCATTATTTTTTGAAAATTATGACAATTAAGTGATAGGTACTATTACTAAAATGGTGTAACTAATTTAACTTTTAAGCGAGGAAAGTGTTTTATTAGAAATATAATTAACGAGCTTTAGCGAATGTGAGGCTTGTCTATGGTGAAAATTCTACGGGGTTTAATTTAACTGTAGGATAAATGCACGATGTTTTTCAATACTACTGAATTGCTTAAAGTACTTTTATCCGGTCTAATATATCCCTCTTTCTTTCTTTAAGGCGCAATTTCGAAGAGTTTTTATCATTTAGTTAGTTCGTTTAATTTTTCCAATTCTCAAATTCTAAAATCGGAACGCATGGGAAAATCTCTCAAACTACAATAACTTGAAATTTCCATTTCAGTAGGCAAAATCGAATACATAAATTTCTAAAGGCGCACTCACACTAACACGAATGTAACAAGGCTGGTATATTATAGGTCCCCGCCACACCGCCGCGTCGCAGCACCGGCCCACCACGCACCATGTTGCGTGCGACACATCGCCGTCCGCGCTCGTCCCGCCGCTGCCCGAGCGCAACCGACCGAACGGGAAAACAGACACACCAAAAACACAAACACCAAACGATTTTCAACTCTATAGACCTTGCTTCAAAGTTGAAATTACCTCACCAAAATACAAAGATTCATCAGCACGCTTCAAATAGAAAGCGTGATAAAAAGCGTACCCGTTTGAAATGAAGCGCGGCGATTGGCCGACGCGCACCAATGGCGGATGGAGGCGGAACACGCTGCGCCCGCGCATCGGAGTACGTCGGTCGTCCACATGTCACGCTCGCGCGACACGCGACTGACGTCCGGAGGTAAAACTGACGCTGAAGTGACTACTGGTGTCACGGTCTGACGCTGTGAGGAGAGAGGAAGATTCTCTAACACGTCTGCAAGGCATGGTGTTGTGAGTGTAAGTGACAAGATGTTGGGCGCCATGGACGGCAAGGAGTACGGCGCGCTGCACGCCGCCGCAGCCGCCGCTGGATACACTATGGATGCCGGTATGTAAACTTAAAATGAACCTTATTGCATAACAATACTAAAAAATCTACGATACGATTTTAAAAAAGTAAAGCAAAATTTTTACAATAGCTTTTCCCGCTTATCTCGAGAAAATTTAAATAAATTAATGAAAATAATACACAATATATTCCTGTTATATTCATAAACATGCTTATTTATGGTTGATAGAAGTCATAAAAGGGGAATTTTTTTTAATCGTTTACGAATTTTAATGCGATGGAAAAAGTCCGACGGAAAAACTTTATAAAGAATACAGTAGTAAAATAAATATTACCAGAAGGATTACATAATACGTTACTTAATTCGGTACTTAGTTACTTTTATCCTTGTCGGAACGGATATAATTTCTTCCAGTTTGTGTCGTATAAAATAATAGCCGTCGCGTCATCTACGCAAAGTGGCAAACTGAGACTTCATTTACCTAATAATGAACGTCTTATCTTATCCTCATTTTACAATACGTTCTAGGGGTGTTTCCCGTTGAGCCGACCGGCTTCCTGATCAACCAATCTAATAGGATTTTTCCCATTGGGCCGAAGATTCTATGGATACAAACACCCTGTTCTTGTTACTAATCTCCATCAGCTATTGGTGACAAGCAACAAGCGCAAAACCGACCACTCATTTAACTTTACGCGAACCATGGGCTTCTACTGCTCAAAGATTCCATCAGATAACCATCTCTAAAAAACAGACATTTTTCTACGGATGCTTCAGTAGTGGAATGAAAAATAACATTATGTCTATGGTCTCCACACTGCGACGAATGCCCAACCAAAGTAATTTTGGACCTGGCTTTGATTTAAACCATAGAACTTGTTACCAGCTATCTTACTAATATTATAAATGCCAAAGTTTAGATGGATAGATGGATGTTTGATAGAGTTTGTAGCCTAAACGACTAAACGGATTTCGATTAAATATGACATAGACATAGTGGAAAGTCTCGAAGAACATATAAGTTACTCAGTTTTTTTTTTAATTTCACGGTGATGGAGTTGCAGGCGAAAGCTAGTACCTACATGTAATGAAAAACAAACAGTGCAATTTTTTTGATGATTTCCACCAAAATTTCATTTTAATTTAATAATTCCTCGTCCGCCGCCCACAGAGGGTCAAACGTTGGCGTAAATAAATTTTTAACTGGATCCAAAATCAGCAAGCATTAAGCCAATTAATTACATGCAATAAATTAGAGTAGAAGTTGCTGATAATACCTTGATTAATGATATTGCAGTTGCCAGGTAGGTCGACGGAAACATCAGCATTAAACGTCCCCAGTGCATCAATCATCTCCTACCTAAGAACTGCCGAATTAGAATTAGACTAGCTGAACGACACTTATGCATTATTTTAAAATGATAGATAAATAGTTTGTCTATGATTTGATTTAAGAGTACATTTTTTCAGTTCTGTAACAAGTATTATAAATACGTAAGTTTGGATAGATGTCTGTTAGAAGATATCTCCAGAACGGACACAACGGATTTCGATTAAATTTGGCACAAATGTAGAAGAATATTTGGAAGAACATATAAGCTACTTAATCAGTTTGTATGAGTTATCCGTGGACTTGGTCGTAGTAGATTTATAAGGCGATTTTTCTTTTCGAAATACGGAAACGAACGAATTGCTGCGGCCAAAGAAAATCGCTTTACTAGCGTATTTGTGACTGAATGAATACTGTTTGCCAAGAGGTATTTACAGATTCACTGGGCTTGAGGTGGCCGAGCGCAGATGGCGCTTAGCCTAAACCTCGTTTATGAGTAACTATGCTCGAGGACTCCCTCCGCAGCCTCGGCACCAGCCGTTACTTCGTTATTATTACCGGATTGGAGCGAAAAGGAAACAATATAGATAGTGTTTAATATAAACGAACGTTTATCATCGTTTTAGCTACCACCTTTTTTCCTACGGTTAGCAAAGAACAAATTCTTTCAAGAAAAGGCCATTTTCAAATTCATTTCAATTTCAATCAATATTATTATTATTATTATTAAGTAGCAAATCGTGTCGTCATTCGGAAGACCGAAAAAAAGCCAAACATTACTTTATCGAGTTCATTTTATAATTCATATAACCATATATATGTACTCTGCGAAGTGCGTAATCTAGGTTTTTAATTAGCTAGTAAGTTGGACTTGTCGTATTTTCTTTAAAATGTTATAACTATGATAGTTTATGACTTAAATACAGTTAGAAATAAAAGCTCACTTTTATCGACTTTAAAAGAGACGTAATTATTGATATTAGGGAGGTGACAATAACATTCGATAAGAGAGATAATTGTCGATAAAATTGATAACCTCTTGCAGGTTAAAGAGCGGCGTCGCACTGTCCATTCATGTCTAAGTCATGCGTTTAATTATTTTATATTTGGTTTATCAATTGATTTATTTGTTATTCCCTTTGTCTATTATTTGGTGTTATAACGATAACCCTTGTTTTTTACAGTTTGACGGCATTATTGTAAAGATTTTCCCAAAGTAATGTGTTAGGTGCTATTTAATTATATTTTATTCATATTAGGGTACAGAAGAAGGGCAAGTGAATATTTAAATTACCAATTAGTTACAAAATAAAAATACTTTATAGTCTTTGGAGACAATAGTGAAAGCGTTCTTCCAAAAACACCAATACCATACAAAGTAGTAGTACGTACTTAATGTACGTCAAATTCACACAGAAACAATGTCTACTAAAAACGGAGTAAATGACAGTGTGTTTGAAAGCACATAGTATTTTCTCAGCGACGATCTACCATAATAAGGATAAAATCCTCAGATTTGAAGGCAATTTATTTTGAGATCTAATAGATTGAGAATAAAATTGAGATCTTCATGTTTATAAAACAGAAATATCAAAATGAACGAATTAGAAAGATGGTACAGGAAGAGAAATATCCTACGTGTAGGACCCGTCCTCTGGTCATTGAAGGCAGCGCATCGATAACTTGTCGATGTCTAGGGCAACTCACTATTATAGGAATATCAAGTGGCCGATTCATTTTAGCAACTAATTACTATAAAAATCACCTACCACATATCTTTGTACTGTTCAAGTTAATTTTCACTTTGTTTATTTTTTTAATGATTATAATAATAGTGACGTGCGTTGTTCTGCTATCGGTTATCGATAACCCTTGACGCCCTTTGAACTTTCGATAACCACAACTCACGTTTAACGCGGTATTACGTTCACTATATTGTTGCAGGTATGTATAAATACCGGTTATTGTTAGATAGAGATGTTTTTAATATTGTCGATAGCCAGTTTGGAAAGTCTCGTTAGCGAAAAACTGTTTCAGCCAAAAGGAGAAAGTGTCACGACCGCACTGAGTTATATAGTTTACGGGTTACAAACAGTGGTCACCTAATGCCGTCTAAAAAACGCTGTCCGAGTTTTAAAGGTTGTCGTTCAACATAAGTAGACGGGTGTAAGAACTGTAGATGAGTTACCGAACGATACGTTGTTATGTAATGTTGGTTTGGCGACAGACTGGAGAACGATGGCTGACCATTGTTTGATCCAAATGGAAGGTAAGAAGTTACGCGAAAAGTGAGTCGAAGTGCTAAATCGCTAAAAGTATTGAGGTAACTGCGACATCTAATACGGAGTATCGGTAGGCGAGAGGCGAGTCGATAATTGGCGGTTTATCAGAAAGGTTATCCGAACTCGAACGTCACCGCACGAGCCACCGGCACGAGTTAATGATCGCAGCTTATTTATTATACACTAGCTCACCGTCCCGGTGTCACGTGATGTGTATAATTATATGCAAATCGTGCATGATGTGCATGCAAATTCCAACTGTGTCTAACTGTGCCCAATAGTGCCAACTCCAACTCCACTTTGCCTTGTTAAAAAGGGTGCGAACAGAAAGCGGACTAGAATTGGCCCTTAGTACGCATCCTTATCAGAGGAAAAGCAGAATCCATCTTCTGTGTGGTCGAGGATGCACCGGGCGAGCAGTTGAAGTGGCAAAACCTACAGCTAATCTTGCTGCGGATTCTTCCTCTTTGAAGGTTGAATGAATGAAAAGAAACATACATTAATATTTTGTAACATTACTAATTAATACATCAACAATCATTTCGACATCGATTTAAGAATTTAATTAGGAATATCACTTTCCGGTCTTGGCGCCATTGGTCTGCTTTTTTTTCAATAAGCAAAAGCATTTGGGTCAAACGACTACACGATTGTTAATTTTTTTTGGACGGTTTGTTTTTTAATAGAAATTAGATCACACAGTTCAAAGTACAGAATATATCGGCAGTTAGTTTAATTAAAATAAATTTAAAACATAATTACATTATAGTTAACATTTTTTTACACGAATTTGTGAGCAAAGTGCAAATGAAACTTTTTATTTGTAAGATCTTGTTAATTAGTCTTAACAATTTTATCAACATATTTAAGTATTTTCTTATCTTTTACATAAAACTAAGTTCATAAATATACAAGTACAAATTTCGTAATCGATTAATTCGGTTCACCAAAGAAGCATAGTTAAAGGCTCCGAGATATGACAAATTCCTCTAGTAATTGAGGCGGAATAATTAATTCTAGAACTTTCTTGCGAAATATAACTTTAAATTGTCGTGGTTTTTACAAATATAATGTTCGTTAGAAGGTTTCTTACCGCGATTGGATTATTTTAGCTCCTGATTTCGGCACAGTTGCATGCGCAATGTTTACGGGCTGACTGAAGACATGCGGTAGTGTAAAAAGAACTTTCTTACGAAATTCTGATGGGATCTAAAATTCATCATACTTCTTTAATTGCTGTATCGGATTTCTGATGATTATTTTCAATTGTTTATAGTTTAAATAGTGAATGCATTTTTACAAGTAAATTTTAAATTCAGAAAGTAGAAAATAAGCGCAGATGTCAAATTTTTCTAACCTAAAGGAAATAAGCGAATAATCGTCTCGCTCTATCGATTTAACGTTTTCGTTAATTTTAAAGAAATGA